AACATGCTTCACGTCAGGAAGATGTCTGAAAGCTTTTCACAGGTTTTACTGTAGAGTTTAGTGACCATGCATTTTTGTACGCATCAATGTCCACCAAACACGAATAAAGTGAACGATCGATTTTGTCTAAAAAGTGGAACCTCTTTGTGGTATTCAATCGAAAAATTTGTTCCATTCTAATCTATGTTTATTTTAGTTCTTATCGGGAGCTGCCACCTTTTGTTCCTCATCTCCTTGCTCTTCATTCTTTGCTCAATAACAATAGCTTACCCTTATATAACACCATTCACAAAGAATGATCATCACCACATGCTTTTAACAAGATAACAACAGGATTACGTTTGTATAGCACATTTCACGGCGGGAGGTCATCCCAAGGCGCTATCAGTTTTTTAACTGATATCAAGGAAGGGATGAGCAGAGAGAAAGGTGGGAGGATTGAGATGTTGGCCAACAAGTGTGGTCAAGACAGGGATACTTTCAGAGCATTTTGAAGACTGGGGGGTCGGGGGGCAGGGTAGGGGCTGGGTGAGGGAGGGCAGAGAAGTAGGAGGGCAGCTGAAGGCACAGTTGAAAATGAAGGTCTTAACTCATGCCTGAAGGAGGCAAGGGAGGGAGCAAGGCAAAGGGGTGGTGGGATGGAGTTTTCAAGAGTGGGGGCTGAAAGCCCGATCGCCGATGGTAGGGCAGTGAGAATATGGAGCAGGCTGGAGCCTACTGAGCGGAGGGAGTGGATAGGTTGAATGAGGTTGAACCAAAGGTTTCGAATGAGGAATAATCAATAGATCAAAATGGGAACAGAGTGGGTAATGACCAACACAATAGGGCTGGAAGAGTTTGTATGGGTTGGGAGGAATGAGACAAGGAAAGGATTTGAAGATCAGCACAAGCAACTTAACATTGCTCCAACAGTGCTATGGGAATCTATATCTCTTATTGTCTCAGATGCAACTCTTGTTTAAGTTGCTCCCAAGAAACTCAGATTGCTCTTTATGATCAAAAACATTTGATCTCCTCAACGATTCTTAACTTTTATTGAGCAGAGTCCATCCACAACAACAACAACAAATTGCATTTGTATAGCGCCTTTCACATCGGAAGGACGTCCCAAGGCACTGGACAGTCGGTGAATTGGACCCGAGCAGGGGGTTGGGATCACAAAGGGTGGAGAGCAGGGAGGGTAGGGATAGCAGGATGGCTGAAGGCATGGTCAAAGAGGAAGGTTGGGTGAAGGTGGGGTTGTACCGTCATGGTGCTTGGTACAATACTGTTCCCATACCTGAGGATATTCATTTCTCTCGTACTCCTACAGTAAATCTTATGACATGCATTGAGATGTTTCAATGACCCAATAAGGCACAGTATCAAATTCAAGGATTATTATTATTATTATTTTAAACTTATAAATTATCCTTATTGCAACTCTTTCACTCCTTTTCTTTACCTCAATCTATTTCTCTCTCATAGTTCCTGCGTTTTATCAGTATTTGTGGGGTTTTCTTCCTCTGAACTTTCCTCTACTATCCAACCCAAGCTTCATCCATTCGTTTCTATACACTTTTACTTCTCCCTGTATCAAAATCAACTTTATGGTTATGTCATGTGATTATTACTGTCCACTTGAAAAAGTAGATAAAATCTTAGTCCAAAAACTTCAACCAATGAAAGGATTTTGTATTTTTGTCCGCCGGGTGTCTGACACGTGTGGAAACCCATCAACATGTTTAAGGGTATTCAAACCAAACTGAGAATTTCATGCATCCTACGTACACCTGGAAATCCCAGAGAGAGATTATTGGAATGGAATGTGCTCTCTCTCCCTGGAGGGATGGATTCCTGCTTACTTAATTTCGGAAGGTATTAGCACAGGTTAGCAACAGCGAAGGCTTGGGACTCCAGAGTGTGTATTAACAGTCTAACCAACTAAAACCGTGTAGTTTGGCATTGAGAGCACTGTCTGGCAAGCTTTTCAGATGCTTGTCCAGCTAGGACCATGGTATCCATTATGGCTTTGGCTTGCAGGGTTAACAGGAGCTGAGCGCTGCTCCTAAAGAAAGCAACCTCCAGCAATGCATTGCTCCCCAGCAATGAACTTGAGCCCGAGGCTAACCTGGGAGTTAATCAAGTCATGATAATTCTGTCTATAGGAATATAGTATAAGGAAGCAATGAACATTTACCTAAACCTGCTCAGTAGAGAGATCGAATGCAATGGTTTACCATAACAAAAGTGTGGAACCATAAACAGCTATTGCAGTGCATTTAGTCAATCCCAATTTGTCCAAAATGTCAATTTCTCATCGATAATAATAATGATAATAATCATTATCACCCTTACTTTTTTTACAGTATCTTTCATGTCTCAAAGCGCGTCACAGGATTTATTGTAAAGTATAGTTGACTACGTACTTTGCAGGCAAACTCAGTAGACAATTTGTGCACAGCAATGTTCTACAAACAACTATGTGACCAATTTTAGCTGGTGTGCTGTTGGCCAAAATACCAGGAGAAACTCCCATCTCTTTTTGAAGTGTGCAATGAATCTTTAAACAGATCTTGGTTTAATGTTTAATTCTATGAATGACACCTTTAGCAATCCAGTACTGCATTGGAGTGTCAGCCTTGACTATGTGATTTCAAAGCCCTAACGTGGGAATTTTAACGTATAACCTTAGTTTGAGAGGTAAGAGCCAAAGGTTGTGGACTCAATTCCATCCCATATCCTTCAAATGTCTATTCAATTTGCATTTAAAATAATGGATTATTCGACTTCAAGCTCCTCACCCTTGTCTTCAAATCCCTCCCCTTCTCTGCATCCCCCGACCTCTCTGACTTCCTCTCTCCCTCCAAACAGTGCCCGGTGCCTTCGTTCCTCTGGATCTGGCCTCCTCCTTGTCCCCCGAGTCCTCTGATCCACCCTCGGTGGCCGTGCCTTCAGGCACTACACCCCGAGGCTCTGGAACTCCCTTCCTCACTCCCTTCACTTTGCTCCCTCCCTTCCCATTTTCAGGTCTCTGCTGAAGACCTTTCTTTTCGACCGTGCCTATGGTCACCTTCCTTCCCTTCCCCCTGGCTCAGCCCCGGAATCCGTTACTGTGAAGCGCTCTGAGATGCTGGCCGGCGTGGAGGGCGCTATATAAATCCAAGTTGTTGTTGTTGTTGCTGCTGCTTCAGTGAGGGCGAGGTTAGGAGATTTTTTTCCCCACATACACATATTGGGATTTGGAATACCTCACCAGAAATGCTGTCTGAAGCAGAATCCATATCAGCTTTCAAAATGAATTATAGAAATATTTAAAGCAGTAAAATATAAAACAGTCTGTGAGGGTGGGATGAGGGGAACGCTGGAGAGTATGGTTAAATCAACAACTTTTATAGAAAGGCAGAGTGGGCACAAAAGACTGAATGATTTCCTTTAGTTCGATTCCTGTGTGGGGCAAAACCTTAGACAAGTTTCCTTAGACCATATGTCTCTGTGTATCTTACATTAAGTAGGATCCCAGTAGTTAGTTAATTGACGGATTACTGTCTGAGGGTAATAATCTCTTCAAAAAACATTTGGTCACTCAATCCAACTGTTTGTGGGACACTGCTGTGTGCAATTGGCTACTGTATTTCGCCCACAAAATGCACAGTCAATCCACTTTACAATATATTTTGTGAAGCGCTTTGAGACATCTCAACAATGTGATAAGGCACTATATCAAATGCCAGGGTTATTATTACTACCCTCTGTGTGTGGAAATAGCTTCCAAGTAAAATGTTTCATTCGTTCAAAATGCTCTCCCACGTGAAGGGCGTTAAACAAATGCAAGTTGTTGTTATCCCACCCTCCCCTTTAATTATTTTCCTGTTAGTCTGGAGATATGTGTGTGTGTGGGGTGTGTGGTGGGGGGGGGATGGGGGAGTATATGCTGGGGGTTGTGAGGTAGCCTCTTGGTGCACTTAGCAATGGTGAAACCTGGCGCTGAGCCGGGAAGACAGGGGGTACCTTGGCTTGATTCCTGGGAGGGCAAAACCTTAAGTAAGTTCCTTTACTCGTTCCCTTACCGTAAGTTCCAGCCCCGAGGCTCTGGAACTCCATCCCCCAGTGCCTTCGCCTTGCTTCCTCCCTTTCCTCCTTCAAGGCCGGTCTCAAAACCTTTCTCTTTGACTGTGCCTTCAGCTCCCCTCTCGACTCTCTTCCCCCTCCTCGCTCCCTCCCTTCCTTCCCCTCACCCTGACCATTTCCCCCTCCTCGCTCCCTCCCTCCCCTCACCCTGACCATTTCCCCCTCCTCGCTCCCTCCCTTCCCTCACCCTGACCATTTCCCCCTCCTCGCTCCCTCCCCTCCCCTCACCCTGACCATTTCCCCCCTGCTCGGGTCATGACCCAACTGTGCAGCGCCTTGGGACGTCCTCCTGACGTGAAAGGCGCTTTATAAATGGAATCTTGTTGTTGTTGTTGTTGTTACTCCACACGCCTGTTTACCCAGCAGTAAGTAGGAACCCGGTTGCTGGTCGATTGGTGGATCGCTTTTCTGAGGAGAATAATCCCTTCAAAAAACATACTAAAAAATATACTATAAAAAAAATGTGGTCACTCAATCCACCACTGTTTGTGGGACACTGCTGCGCGCAATCGGATGTCACGTTTCGCCCACAAAATGCATTCAATTCACTTGACAGTATATCCTGCAAAGCACTTTGAGACATCTCGAAGACTTGATAAGGCGCTATATGAAATGCAAGGATTATTGGGATTGCATTGGAGCAGGCAGGCTGTGGATACGGAGGGAATTATTGTTCGCGGAGATGCTGTGAGGGGGGGGTTGGGGGGAGCTCAGTAGAAACCAAATTACTGTAATTGGGAGCATCAGGAGAAGAGGAGCAGACCAGATACCAAGAAAAGTCTTTAATCAAATTGCCAAAACAGGCAACGATTTAGCCTTCTCACTCCACAGGGAGTGCTGATGACGTCTTTCCTTATATTTATATAATTTTTTTTTGGTTGGGGGGGGGGGTGGGTAGAGAAGATGAGGGCTGATGGCAAACGTGACTGCCTTTTTCTTTGTGGTAACCTGCCTTGTTGGTATAAAACCAGGAAGTTTTGAGAGGTTTGGTCAGAGAAGGGGTGTGCGTTGGAGAGCTTGCAGCTAAGAGAGACACAGAGACGAAGAGATACAGAGAGAAACAGAGAGAGATAGAGAGAGAAAGTGTAAAGAGATTTGATATTCTCTGTCTCAATCTACCTCCAGCACCAAGGAGAGCGACTGACAAGTATTCCCAGCACTTGATCAAATCTCTGACTTGGTGAGTTACATTCAAAGACATCTATATATATATATACACACATACATAATATACATATCTTCTTTTTAATTCAAAACGTGGAATCAATCATCGTTCTTTAATCTATTTTCTCAACAAAACAACACACTTGATGTGCAATAATGCATTATTCATATTGTAATTTCAACCCTTGTAAAACCCTGGGATGGAGCTTTTGAGAAAGTTGGGTATTTTAGACAACTTTCTTTCACACGTGAATCTTTCTTTTCAGCTGTGTTGAGATTGTTTTTTCTCTCTCTCTCTCCTTTTTCCTTTTTGATTTTGTTCGTCTCTGGGTGTGGAGTGGGGAGTAAAGCGAAAGGTTTGATGCTTTAGTGAGTGTGGGAAGAGGAGGGAGGGTGCTTCAACCTTTTTTCGAATGAAACAAAAACCGTTGTCTATCCCTCTGGGGGACGTGCGTTTTTTGGGGGTAAATGTATGGGTTTTTGTAGGTTTGTGAGTTGTTTGTGTGCTTGTGTGATTTTGTGTGTGCGCGCGCGTGTGTATGTGTGATCTTGTACATGTGTGTGAATTTTTTATATGTGATTGTTTGTGTGTCTGTACATATGTGTGATCTGTGTGTGTGTTTGTATAGATTTGTGATGTGTGGTTGTTTCTGTATATATGTTTGTGTGTGTGTCTGTATCCTATATATGTGTGATTGCGTATGTGTTTGTATAGATGTGTGAGTGTGTGTGTGTTTGTATAGATGTGTGATTGTGTGTGAGTTTGTATAGATGTGTGATGGTGTGTATTTGTATGTATTGTGTGTGTGATTGTTTCATGTGCGTTTGTATATATATATATCAGCACATTGGGACATCCTCTCAACATGAAAGGTGCTATACAAATGTAATTTTGTCGTATATATATATGTGTGTGTGTGATTTAGTGTGTGTGCGTTTGTATATGTGTTTATGATTCAGTGTGTGTGTTTCAGGATCCGAAGCGATGGTGATCAGATTGAGTTCCCATTTGGTGACAATGTTGGCTCTGCTCAATGTGTTCTGTTCCCGGGGATCTGGCCTCCCGGCTCTCGGAAACTACTCAAATTTACGGTAATTATTATCCCGAAAAACAACATACAACTCAGTGTGGAACATATCATTCAGCGATCGCTTCAGTGAAAGGAGATTCAAGGAAAGGTGGATGCAAACTGCAAACTCCCACAGATTTCAGAGTCTCAAAAATATCCAAATAAGAACTGTTACAAGATTTTATTAATGTTAAAAGGGATTTTTCCAAAGGCTTTGCTAGGTGTCTCTTGCAGTCTCTCCAATAGAGCTGATGGGAAGGAGACAAGCAGTTAGTCAAAGGACCCATATATGGGTCTGGGGTGAGTTAATGAGTTAATGGATCTTAACTCCCACCTATAAAACCAGTCAGTACAATCACTCATACATAATCACACACACACACAGTCACACACATAGAGTGTCACACATACACACACACAATATAGACACACACCATATACAAACACAGACACAATCACACACACATACAGAATCGCACACACATACAAAGACACAATTACGTACTTCACATATATATATATACAAACATACACAATCACAAACATACTTGCATTTATATAGCGCCCCTCATGCAGGGTAGCATCCCACAGTGGCAGAGCACGACGCTGAGCCAGGGGGAGCGGGAGTTGACCATAGGCACGGTGGAAGAGGAAGGTCTTCAGGCGGAATGACACACACACACACATAATCACACACAAATATACAAAATCCACATGATCGCTTTCCAAAATGTATTGGCGCAGCCTGCATTGTCATATGTGCGAGCAACACTCAATGCAATAGTCCATCTTGTGCAATTAATCTGGAAGACAATGGTCTGAATGGAGCGAAGGGTTTGTCAGCAATTGCAAATTAGAGTTGCATATTTTTGAAGATGTTATTACTTATTTCTGGATCATCATTAATTTAGGTCCTTCCACTCTAACTTGGTCTCCCCTCCTCTCCAGGCAATGCTCGGAGACAATCATCTGATGTGAAAGGTTCTATATTAGTACAAGTTGCTGTTGGACTCATCGTCTGTGGGACACTACTGCGTGCAAATTAGCTGCCACATTCATCTACAAAACACACACAGTCATTACAATTTACAGTAAATCCACTGATGTGCTTTGAGACAACCTCCCGATGTCAAAGATGCTTCATGAAATTCAAGGATTCTTGAGTTTACCTAGCAACATTAATTTAATATCAAAAGGATTTAATTCTGCAAAGGGCTCTGAGACATTTATTTTCTCTGAAAGGCGTTGGGTAAAAGTAAGCTGTTTATCGCGGAATCTTTGTTTATTCACAGAGTGCATTTAATTATTATTATTATATTATTATTTATTCAGAGTGCATTTTCAATTTGAAGATTTACGTAAAAAACATTAACAGATAATGGGAGAAAAGCTGGAAAGTGGAATCGATAATTAAAAGGATTTCCGAAAACAGAATCAGTTGGTAACACTATCGCCTCCGAGTTAGAAGGTTGTCAGTTCAAGATCCACATAAGAACTTGGAGCTCATAATCGAGGCTGACATTCCAATATAGCAATCAGGCATTGCTGCATTGCTATCCGTCAGATGAGACATTAAACCGAGGTTCGTCTGCCTGCTCAGGTGGACATTAAAGATCCCATGACACTATTTGAAATGTTCGGTGTCCTGGTCGAGAATCCCCCAGATAAAATTGGTCATTCCCTTCATGGCTGTTTGTGGAATAATATCAACTTTGCACTGCAATGTCTCCCAAACAGTTGTGGATTGAGTGACCAAATTTATTTTGTGTGGGGGGGAGGGGGGGATTATTACGTCTGGACAGCGATTTGTCAATCAACTGGATTCCTACTCACTGATTGGCAAAGAGAGGCGTGTGGAATAAGCAAATCTGCCTAAGGTTTTGCCCTACCCGGGCATCAAATCCAGGTCCTCTCGCTTGCAAGGCAAGAGCGCTAACCACTACACTACTGAACTCCACATAAATGAAAGGATTGGTATTATTATACACATAACTTCTCAATGTATTATCAAACTGGGGCTGATCCCGTGTGTGTGTATTTTATCTAGTTTGGGGAACACAGTGTCACTTGATGGACAGAGCGAAGATGATCCATCACAGTTTCGCATGAAACAAGAAAGCGATATTTATCCAGGAAGCTTGACTGCAAATGACAAACTCTATTACCAACTATTGCAAGGAGTACCAAGGTGAGTCTATCCGTCCAGCCAGATGAGGGTATCCAACTCCTGGGCGCTCACTGATGCACAAATTGAACCAGGAGCCTCTCGCTTGCAAGGCGAGTGCTCTACCCAATACTCCAATTCTGCAGAGGATGCCTCCACACCCCTTCCCCCCCACCCCTTATCTTAGCAATCACCTCAGTCCTGCTTGTCTGAACTGTCTGTCTTTTTTTCTCGCTCTCTGCTTTCTCCCAGGACAACACGCCACGCTGACGGTCTCTTCACCAGTGGTTACAGTAAACTCCTGGGCCAGCAGTCTGCTAGGAAATATTTGGAGTCCCTGATGGGAAAACGAGTCAGGTATGGGAGGAGCATGAGGTGCCAGGGAATTGGACATTAGGCACAGTAACAGAGTTTGGCTTGTGATCAACTCGGGAAATACAGATGTTAATTTAATGTGGGATCCATTTGAGATCAACAGATGCTATTGATTCCTGGGGAGGCGGTGGTGCTAAACCTTAGGCAAGTTGTGGGCACTGCTGTGTGCAATTGGCTGCCACATTTCACCCATAAAATATACCGTCAATCCACGTTACAGTATATTCTGTGCAGCATATTGAGACATATCGAAGACATGAACCAATTATATGCAGCTATGTCCCACAAACAATAGTGAATTGAGTGACCAAATTATTATTTTTTTTGAAGGGATTATTATCCCTGGAAAGTAATCTGCCAATCAACTAACAGTCAGGTTCCTACTTACTGCTAGGTAAACAGAGGTGTGTGGAGTAAGGAAAGTTGCCTAACATTTTGACCCGGCCAGGAATCAAACCCGAGGCCTCTCGCTTGCGAGGTGGGAGCGCAAAGAACTACGCTGCAGGACTACATACAAGCTGAGGGTGGAAAGGAGTAGGGTTTTGGATGGGGAGGGAATTAATTTAAAAGGGACTTGAAAAGTAGAGGGTGGGAGATTTTCAATGCTCCATTTTTTGTGTCTCATCCTTTCTCTTCTCTCTCTTTCCTTGTGTTTGTCACTGGTTCCTACCTCAGCACTCTGGACGAACAGGAACCTGTGAAACGTCACTCAGATGCCCTCTTCACTGACAACTACAGCCGCATCCGAAAGCAGATGGCCGTGAAGAAATACCTCAACAGCATGCTGGCCGGGAAGAGAAGGTAACCAACAAAACATTGTTTGCCCCATCCAGCCTGTCGTGTCCGCGTCAGCGCTATTTGTCATTCTGTTTGCTCATCTCTGGCATACCTTACCTCAAGCACACTCGAAACACTCGTCCACGAGTTCATCACCTCCTGCTTTGACTACTCCAATGCCCTCCTCGCCAGTCTCCACAGCTCCACCGTCCACAAAATTCAATTGATCCAGAACTCCTTCGCCTGCCTACTCACCCGCACTAAACCCCATCACACCAGTTCTAGCCAGGCTTCACTGGCTCCCTATCACCAAACAGATCGATTTCAAGATCCTCACACTCGTTTTCAAATCCCTTCATATCCTGGCACCTCCAACCTGTTTACTCCCGAATCCACCACCCCTGCCTGAGCTCGACTGGCTCTCGTCTCCTGCATGTCCCTCGTGACCTCCGTTCCACCATTGGTGGTGGTATTTTCAGCCACTACGCCCCGAAATTCTGGAACACTCTCCCTCTATCCCTCTGCCTTTTCCTCATTCCTGTTACTGTTGGGGAGAGTCTCTGATACACATGGAAACCCATCACCATGTTTCAGGGTGGGGGAGGGTTTTCACTCGTGTCTAACTTTAAAACAAATAAACACTGTTGTTCTAAGCTCCCAATCCTCTCCCACTTGAAAGGGAAAATGGAAGGAAAAAGTCCTTGAGCTCCATCCCCGTCTTCCTCACTTTTAAAGCTGTCCACAGCCTTGCTCCTCCCTCCCTCTGCAACCTATTAACACCGTAGAAACCTGTCTGCTCCCACCACTCAGCAGGCCCCCGCACACTGGTACTCCATCCCAGAACCCCTCTGCCTTGCACCTTCCCTTGCCGCCTTCAAGGTCGGTCTGAAGACCTTTCTCTTTGATCATTCTGTCTGCCACATTCCTACCACCATCCCTGCCCTCCACCCCTCTTCATTCCAACCCCCAGCGCAGGTGCAAACCCCTGACTGCCCAGCACCTCGGGATATCCTCCCGATGTAAAAGGCACAATACAAATGTAATCTGTTGTTGTTGTTGTTGTTGATCTGCCCCCAGCCAGGAAGAGCTAAACACTGCCGACCTGCCAGATGCCCCTCAATATGATGAGAACATTGAGAACCTGGCGGTGGATGAACTTTTGAACCGTCTTCCATCTTTGGTAGGTACCCGCTGGGGCACTTGCAGCCCCTGGTCATTATTTAATGCCGTCACTGGTTAAAGGGTCTGAGGAATATAGGAACTTCGGAATTGCTAGACAAAAAAAGACCAAGGTCAACTCAGTTCGCCTTTCACTATCCCGGCAGTCGCTTGACATGTCAGGTTCCGAACGACTCATATATTGACTCATTCACTGGACTAGTGTTTCCACAGATTAGTTTTGAATATGCCCCCTTTCAATTGCAGGCTGTGTCCTCTGGTTCTACTGTTTGAGACAAGATTGGTCTAAAATGAGGCGATTCCCTCTATCCTGTAATGGACAGAGCTGTAGATTACTGACCTAGAATCCTAGGTTCGAATCCTGATTCCAGTTTGTTGGGCTGAACCAGATTTGCGCAGGCTCCCGAGATTTAGGGAGGTTGAAATCAGCCAGGATTACTGGTCTAGGTCCGCCTTCAGCACCCTCTACTGTTTGAGCGTGTGGCATCCAGGTGAGCAGAGATCAGGTTCGGATGTGATGCCCTGTCAACACTTATTTCCAAGGCTCACGCTTGATCACTAGGGTACGGTGGGGCAGGTTTTCCAGCGCCCAGTCTATAACTAAGGAGACTGTCAACTGGGTGAGCATAGGTGAAAGTGGCAGGCAGTTTGCGCACAGCAATGTCCCACCAACAGCCATGAAGTGAATAACCCATTGTATCTGGGGGATTGTTGGCCAGGACATGGGGAGAGAGAAACTCCCTTCTAGTTCCGAATAGTGCCATGGAATTTTTAATGTCCACCTGAAAAGGACATTGGGATTTTGGCTTAACATCTCATCCGAAGGTCAGTACCTCTAACAATGCAGCAATGCATTGGAACATCAACCTAGACTATGTGAGCTCAAAGTCCCAACGTGGGGCTTGAACTCAAAACCTTCTGGCTCAGAGGTGAGAGCGCTACCGACTGAGCCAAGCTGAGTGGGAAGAAAGAAGCAGATACCATTGCTGAGGTGGTGGGTTTAAAAGCCCCACAAAATGCAAAATTAAAGGGAGACTGAGGGAAGCAAAGCCTTGCAAGGAATGGTGGAGAACAAGTTAAAGTAATAATGTCTGTTTCTATCTTTCTTTATTTCTGTGAACAGAGTCGTTGAGGATCACCCACACCAAAATCGCCTCCCCTTCCCCCAACATCTGCACCCCTACCCCACCCCTGATGTGGTGAAACTGAAGACCACGGGAAACAGGACATCAGCTTTGATTTGCCGTTAAGTAACTCGGAAGTGGGAACTTTTCGCCGTACGTAAAATCTCCCACAAGAGAAGTGAAAACCCTTGGTGACAATTCTTATCTCCTCTCCCTGCCGACGAGAACTAACTACACAATGTAGATAACATTCTTCTTGTGTATGTGTGTATCTCATCTAATAGTTGTATCTATATCTATATATATATATACGTATATAAGAATATGGACGTTAGTCTGAGAGAGACTGATATATCGGGCTAAAGCATGCAATGTTCCTTAATAATGCGCTCCTCGGCCTAATTAGCACAAGAAACACATTGTGAAGCATACAGCACAGAAGGAGGCCATTCAGCCATTTGTGCCTATGCTGGCTCTCGGTTAGAGCAATCCGTTCAGTCCCACTCTACTCCCCTGTTGTTCCCTCTCTCCCCCTCCTCCCACCACTCCCCCACACTGATATCCTTTTCAGATCCTTGTCCAGTTTCCCCTTTAGAAGCTATTACCGATTCACTACAACCATTCTTTTGGAGTTTGACATTCCACGTCCTAATAAGCCTCCGTGAGCGTGTGGTGTGCGAAAAAACATTTCCAACAACAACAACAATGACAACAACAACTTGTATTTAGACAGCGGCCTTCGTGCAGCGCCATTTGTTGGTTTGGTGCCGTTTTTAAATCCAACTAACAGACAGCTGGGCCAAATGGCCTTCTTCTGTGCTGGAAATTTCTATGGTTCTGATGCCCTCTTGATGACTGACTCACTGTTCAGTGAAAATATCTTCACCCCTGTTTAACTTATCGACTCCCCCATTCCCCCACCCGCCCACCACCAACGTTCTGAACAGGTTGCAAACTTTAGCCCGTCCTGCCTGAAATGTCTATACACTGTCTCTATTTAATAAATGTATTGGACTGCAGCAAAGCAGAAGGCCGGATCATATTACATTGTACCCATGTGTAAGCATCGCCTCTCTATGTGTTCAGCGCTCTGGTTTTCAACCCAGTATTGTTTGTCTTGTTTTCCTCTCGATCATAAACTTTGGTTCAATAATAATTGCTGCCATTGTGAGGTGTTATCCTGATGTTTTTCAAAACGTTTCTGAAAACTCCTCTGGAAATGCCAAATGGACAATATAATAATAATAATAATAATAATACATTTGATATTGCACCTGATCATATCATTGAGACGTCTACACAGCGCTACACAGAATATAATCCTTACATTTGCAACAGCACCTTTTTACGTCGGGAGGACATCTCAAAGCGCTTCGCAGGATACACTGTAAAGTGGAGTGACTATTTGATTTGTGGGTGAACACGACAGCTAATTTGCGCACATCAATATCCCACAGACAGCCCATGATCGATTTTATTTAGGTGATTGTTGGCCAGTAGACCACTAGAAATAATAATATTATTATTATTAGAAACTCCCTTCAGTATGGATTAGAGGGGAATATTAATAGTAACACTTATAATAACAATAATAGAAATACTAACAGTAAGAGAAATAACAAAGGCAATCATAATAATAGTAATAATATTAGTAATATTAATAGCACTAGAAATAATAATAGTAAGGTAAATAATGGCAAGAATATAATAAAAATCCTTGCATTTGGTATTGTGCCATTCACATCAGGAGGGTGTCTCAAAGCTCTTTGCAGGATAGACTGTGAAGTGTAGTGACTGTGCAACTTCAGCAGCCAATGTGTACACAACAATGTCTCACAAACAGCCATGAAGAAAGTGACCAATTTTATTTGGGGGATGGTTGGACAGGACACCGGCAGAGAGAAACTCCTTCTCTTTTAGAATAGTGCCATGGCATCCACCTGAACAGGCAGACGGGACCTCAGTTTTACATCTCAATTGAAAGGACAGCACCAGCAATGCAACACATCCCCAACTTTGCACTGGAGTGTCAGCCCAGACTGTAAGCTCAAACCTAGTTGGCCAATTCCTTTATTAATTTGTGCATATGTTGGGGAAAGAGTAGCAGAATGGGATTAGAGTAGAAAACTACAGTGGAGATTAGAGCACCAACGCGGACACAATAGGACCTAAATTAAAGTCTCATTTGTAGGACAGCGCCTCCAACACTACACTGGACTATTAGTTCAAAGTTCTGATATGAGGTTTGAACCTACAAGTTTATTATTCAGAGGCAGGAGTGCTATCAACTGAACCAGGCTGACACCTACAATGGTAATAAGAATAATAGGTCTAATAATAATAATCCTTGCATTTGATATAGTGCCTTATCACGTCTTTGAGACGCTTCAAAGCTCTGCAAAGAATATACTGTAAAGTGAATTGACTGTATATTTTGTGGGCGAAATGCGTCAGCCAATTGCATACAGCAGTGTCTCCCACAAACAGTCGTGGATTGAGTGACCAATTTATTATTGTTACCNTTTTTGAAGGAATTATCACGCTCAGAAAAGCAATCTGCCAATCGACTAACATCTGGGCTCCTACTTATTGATAGGTAAATAGAGGCGTGTGGAGTAAGGAAACTTGCCCAATGTTTTGCTCTGCCAGGAATAAAACCCAGGTCACTCGCTTGTGAGGCGAGTGTTATAACCACTGCGCTACAGGACTTTTTTCTTGGTCAGACGGGTGTCTGACACACAAGGAAACCCATCACCGTTGCTTAAGAGCATCCAAACCAAACTTAGAATTCCATGCATCCCACCTGCACATGGAAATCCCAGAGATAGATTGTTTTCAGTGCTTCGGGATGTCCTCCCGACGTGAAAGGCGCTTTATAAATGTAATTTTGTTGTTGTTGTTGGAATGGAATGTGCACTTTCTTCCTGGAGGGGTGTATTTTGCTTATCTAATTCCAGAAAGTATTAGTTGCAGATTCGCAAGAGCCATCTCTTGGGGACACCAGATTATGCTTTGGGGTAACCACTGGAATCTAAACTTGCAGGGTTAACAGGAGCTGAGTGAGAGCCCACACCCCACCCAATGAGTTGGAAGTGCTGTCATCAGCAGTGCCCTGGAATACTATGGACCTTCCTGGCTCAGGAACCAGACTACCAAGACAGCCACAGAGGACTGGCTGAATTCCGACATTTAACACAACAATAATCAAAGTAACGACAATAATAATGATAGCAATAACAATAATCCTTACATTTGATACAGATTATAATGTTGAGAACATCTCAAACCACTCCACAAAGTTTCTGCAAACTGTGTACTTTGTAGGCAAACACGGCAGCCAAGTTACATACTGCAAAGTCCCACAAACAGACAAACTTGTTTGTATTGTGGCTCAGAATTCCACCCGGTGAGCCACATTGCCTACAGATTGGTGAAGAATTCTTCAATCCAGTCTGGACTCGGAAGTTGGATTCCATAAAAACTATGGGAAGAAACAAGAGTTTTGAACCCGAGCTGGGGGTTGGGATCGGGAGGGTGGAGGGCACGGGGGGAAGCAGGGTCATCAAAAGCATAGTCAATGAGAAGGGTTTTGAGATGGGTCTTGAAGGTGGCAAGGGAGGGGGCGAGGCGGAGGGACTGTGGGATGAAATTCCAGAGGGTGGGGGCAGAGCGGCAGAAGGCCCGCCCGCCAATAGTGGGGAGAGCAAGGCGGGTGACGTGAAGCAGGCCAGAACTCGCGAGCAGGATAATAGGAAGTTAGGAGGTGGCCGAGGTAGGGGGAGCAAGACCATGGAGGACTTTGAAAGTGTGGACCAGGATCTTGAACTGTATCTTGATACAGCGCTTTATCACGTTGTTGAGAGGTTTCAAAGCACTTCACAGATTACATTGTAAAGTGGTTTGACTGTGTATATTGCGAGCGAAATGCAGAAGCCAAGTTAGTCACAAACAGTCGTAGATTGAATGATCAAATTTTGGGGGCGGGTTTGGAGGGATTATTATCCCCGGAAAGCGATCCACCAACTAACAACTGGTTTCCTACCAATTGGTAGGTAAACAGAGATATGTGGAGTAAGGAAACGTGCCACATGTTTCACTCCACGGGAATTGAACCCGGGGCCTTTCACTCGCGAGGCGAGGACACTAACCACTATGCTACAGGCCTCCACATTACAAATCATCATGTTCTTAGACTTAGAAGAATGGTCTTAAAAGTGTAAGAAATTAAATTATCAACAGAAGAAGCAAGAGGGCAAGTCTTTGATATAGCACCTTGGAATATCGAACCATCTGTCTCAAAAAGCTTCACGGGAGATTTGCTTTGAAGCGTAGTGACTGTGTACTTGGTAGATGTACATGGCAGCCAATGTGAGCACAGTAACACCCCACAAACTTGCCTTGAAATGAAATGACCAACTTATCTGGAACATTGGCCAGGCCAGAAACACCCTCACTCTCTTTCAATATGGACAAAATAATAATAATCTTTACATTTGATATAACAGCTTTTCAGGTCATTGAGATGTCTCAAAGTACAGGATATACTGTTAAGTAGATTGATTATGTATTTTGTTGCCAAAAAAATGGCAGGCAATTGCACACAGCAGTGTCCCACAAACAGTCGTGGGTTGTGTGACCAAATTATTTTTTAAAAGGGATTTTTACCCCCAGAAAGTAATCTGCCAATCAACTAACAACTGGGTTCCTACGTACTGTTAGACAAACAGAGGCGTGTGGAGTAAGGAAAGTTACTCGAGGTTTTGCCCTGTCCAGGAATCGATCCTGGGTCCTCTTGCTTGCGAGGCAAGCACTAAACATGTGCTACAGGACATGGTCCACCTGCACAAGCAGACTGGACCTCATGTCTCATCTGATATTTCTGACCTTCCTCCTGGTTTTGCACTGGACTGTGAACTTTAGTTCCTAAATTTTGGCTTGAAACGCACACCTTTCTGATCCCAGAAGGCAGAGCATGATCGACTAGGTCACGCTGGCAGGGAAACATACCTGATATGTACTGGGATAGACAGTTACAAACTACACACCTCTTGAATGTAACTGATGTTGGGTTTGGTCAACACTCAAAAAGATCAGAAGATCTGTCTGGATGAAGATGTTGCTTTGGCCCATCTGATCTCATCTCTCGAGAACATCCACACTACCATCCCCCATCACATCATCAAGTTGCTTTTTAAATGAGTCCCGGTGTCCTGGCCTCAAACATGCTTTGTGGTAACCCTGTTCCAGTTGTTAATTACCTTCTGAGTAAAGAAACACTTCCATCCTGTACACCTCTAAACCTGTGTCCTCTTATTCCACCGTGTTGGTGCATCTGGAAGTGTTATTCTGAAATCCTAAATTATTGCTCTGATACATTTGCACTGGCTGGGAATCAAACCCGGGTCTCCTGTGGAGAAGGCGAGAATTCTTGCACTGAACCATCAATGAGAGATGTACACTAGTTGCTGGGAAACAGATCCACTGGGAGAAATTCCCCTTTCACGCTTGTTCCTTCTCTCGTATCTTCATAATAATAATAATCCTTGCATTGTATTCAGCGGTTGACGGTGATTGAGGATCGTCACGGGAGGGAGGATTTGGCATCTTGTGAATCATTGAATCATAAATCATAGAATATTACAGCACAGAAGAAGGCTACTTGGCCCATCGTGCCTGTGCCACCTCTTTGGAAGAGCCATCCAATCAGACCCGCTCCCCCGCTCTCTCCCCTTATTTTTGCAATGTTTTTCTTTTCAAATACCTATCGAATTCCCTTTTGAAAGGGATAATAATTCTTGCGTTTGATATAGCGCCTTATTACGTTGTCTCAAAGTGCTTCACAGTAAATATTGTAAAGTGCATTTTGTGGGTGAACTTTATTCTCTTTTTGGTTCACACACTCCCTCCCTCTCTCTGTCTCTTTCTCTGTTTCACACCTGATCTCTGTCTATTTGTCTCTCTCTCTCTCACACACAAAGATGCACACAGTTGCTCTCTTCCTATGCCTTGCTCTCACACACACACGCACTCACTGTCTCTCACATACACACACTCACTCTTACTCTCGCACACACACTCGCTGCCTCTCTCGCATAGCCATCTCACTGTCTTTCTCACACTCAGAGACTTATTCTCGCGCTCACACCCACACTCGCT